ATCTCAAAAACTGAATTTTTGACAGCATTTTGAATTTTGCTCTAATGTGAACAATTGGAGTCAATGTAAAAATGACAATTTTAAACATCAGTTTTTCACTTATGGAGCAAATCAATCATTGTTACAAACAAATTACCAACATCTCCATGCTGTCTAGATGCAATATGTGTATTTTCAGATTTTTGTCTTAATAACTGAATTTTTTACAGTGGTTTCAAATCTGCCTTTCCATGCACGGATGGCTGCTTTCCTACACAACAGTGAATGGTTACTCAGTTTGTGAAGCCACTGTTGAGTTGCTACTTGCCAATTAGCTCAGAGCGGTAGATGACCGTCTTAGGTTCCAGAGGTTGCGGAATCGAGCCTCAACTGGTGCAGAATCCACATTGTAATGTAAACATCTTCTTGTGCTCCAGCTTATTGCTTAAAATTGCCTGAGCGTGACTGATCACTGTGCAGCATCTTCAAGTCTTTTTTCTGTAAGAAAATCTGCCTTCTCATGCTTGAAAATAAACCAAACTTTGCACAAAGATCCAGTGTCAATACTTCAGTGTGAAACCATCTGAGGCTTCTCACTTTGCACATAGCTTGACGAGTTAAACATCAGTTTTACACTTATGAAGCAAATCAATCATTGTTAAAATAAATTACCAACATCTCCATGCTGTCTAGATGCAATATGTGTATTTTCAGATTTTTGTCTTAATAACTGAATTTTTTACAGTGGTTTCAAATCTGCTTTTCCATGCATGGACGGCTGCTAAACCTGCCTGTCTGGCTTAGTCAGTTTGTGAAGCTACACATGAATTGTCACTGACTAATTAGCTCAGTGAGATAGAAATTGATTCTTAGTCTCAGAGGTTGTGAGTTCAAGCCTCAGCTAATGCAAAAGGCAGATTATGTTGCTAAATGTCTTCCAATTCTTCTGCTTGTTGCTCAGAATTGCCTAAAAATGCCCGGACCTGACCCATCACTGCGCAGCAGCTATAATTTAATAAATTATTTTCAACATGTTTCAACAGTATCTCTACAAGAGCCAGTGTTGCTGATGTGCGCTTGTATAAGTTTAACTCTCTTATCGGTAAGGGATCCTTTTCTTACACTGGGGCTTTTCAATGGAACGGCTTGGATTTGGTTATTAAATTAGCTTCCAATTTAAGACGGTTCAAATTTCTTTTAAAAGGTGGGAAAGGTTCCTATGTGAAAATTGCCTCAGCTCTTGAAGACGTATCTGGCTCAAATATGATTGTTCCCTTCTTTTTTTTATTGTGACCATAGTTGTGTATGTTTTTGAATGGTTTTATTGATGGAGCTTTAAGCGCCGCACATGTGGGTTGCCACCTTGTATGTATGAGGACCACAATGGAAATAAGTCCTGGACTTTATTGTGTTTTTATCCTCGATTGTGTCAGCCAACGTGCATGTGTAATATGTACTCTTGTGTTTTATGCAATCAAATAAAACTAAACTAAATCTAACACTGAAATTAAAGTCAGCTGTATGTGCTCATCACTGATTTGCAAACAGACAAATATCTTAAAAACATCTAAAGAAACAGGACAAATTCCAAATCAAGTAATGCTAAAATTTTAAAAAAAAAAAACATCAATGGAGAAAAAAAGAGAAAAAACTATCTATCTATCTATCCATCCATCCATCCATCCATCCATCCATCCATCTATCTATCAATCGATTGCCATTTCTTACTGACATGACAAACTGAGGAAACAGCTACCAGAAAACACTTTGCTATCTTCTTATAGTCTTCATCAGTAGGCAGCTGTTTAGAGGAGCCCTTGGCTGCTGATTGTTGGGACAAGGTTTCAGGAGTCAGCTGAAATTTGCTTTACCTGTCCTTTCCTAACGACGACTGTGAACAAGCTCATTAAAGTCTGAGACCCTGGGAAAGTTGTCAAAACACTGTACAAAACAAAACTAAATACACTGTCCTTGTTGTAAGTGTTGAAATGCATGTTTCATCTTTAACTTCAAGTCTTCTGGAGGTCACTTCATCTTCTACTCACTTAACTATTCACAGTAAAATAAATTTTGACCAGGGGTGCCTAAACTTTTGCATGCCACTGTCTATGCAGTGGAAAAAAATGAAATACTCTTTTTTGTAGTCTTGTCTATTTGGTAATTGATGTATCTGTCTGTGTTACATCCTGTGAGTATAACAACACTGAACTTTAAGTAACTGAACTTTACAACTTTAGAAAGGTCCACTATAACAGTAATGCCAAACTCAAAAAGTAAAATGATGTGATCATATGTAATAACTATGATATTTTTGATGTAAAGTCATTATAGGAACCACTTACAGGTCATATATAGAAATATATTCAATAGATTTAAGGATATTAAGATGTTCAAATTGTGTGGACATATTTCACTTTGAGATCTGCATCTTTTTCTCCTTTGTGCAGTGGTCATAGCAACCATAATGTGTCTAAACATACACCAGTTTAAAAAGAGCTATGAAGACATGATGTTTAGGAGGTGCAGGGGTGAAGAAGGGGTTTGATTTTATTTTTCTGTTATTAGCAATGTATTAATATGTAAATAAGTGGATAATCATTTACGGGTATGTGGCGTACACATATGTATATATTGAAATAATTACATATAGTCATATTTTATATATTCATGATTAAAATATAAAAAGATAGGACAAGTCAATGAAGACATGTGTAGCCTAATATTTACATTTATTTTTTGTTAGGCAAATTGGTAATATATATATATATATATATATAT